CAGTGTCAGAATGTCCGCCGCAGTGCCGCCATAAGTCGCTGATCGCCGCTATTATTAGTATAAAAAAAATTAAACATCCAGTATCTATACCGCCATTTGTGCACGCTATAACTTTCATGTAAACCAATTAATTTACACGAGTTTGGATTTTTTTAAGCAAAGATGTCGCAGAATACATTTTGGCCTAAATTCAGGACGAAATTTTATTTTTAAATTTTTTACTGGACATGTTTTATAGCAAAAAGTCCAAAATATTGTTTTTTTTCCTCAAAATTGTTGGACTTTTTTTTATAGCGCAAAAAAATAAAAACCGCAGACAGGCGATCAAATTCCACTGAAAGAGAGCTCAATTCGTGTTGAAAAAACGGACGTAAATTTCATTTTGGCACAGCGTTGCATGACCACGCAATTGTCAGTTAAAGTAACGCAGCACCGTAACACAAACCACTTCTGTAACCACTTCCTGACCGCCCTATAGTAGAAATACAGCTGCAGGGCGGCACGGGTGCGCAAAATCACATATATATGTGATTCGCACTCCTGTGGTTTCACACCCCTCCCAGATGGCATCAGATTGCCCGCTAGTACACCAGTATTCACATTTATCCCTTGATTGCCAGGAACACGCTCATACACAATAAACCTCCATTGCTAGTATAGTGTCTGAACGGATCAATATCTTTGATCAGATCAGCACTATACCAGCATTCACATTAGTATAGTGTCCCCAAAAACGCAGTGTTAGCGGGATCAGCCCCGACACTGCCAGCACCTGCGATTAGCCCCTACGCTTACTCCCCCTTCTCCCCCCAGCAAGTGCAGTGTCAGTAGGTCACTGTCACTTGATACATTCCACACAAAACCGCAGTGTTGGCAGAATCAGGCCTGATCTGTGTTAGCACTTGCCGGTAAATTTTGATGACTCTCATATGCAGCAGAGTGCCAGTACTAGTGCCACACTTCCTTTTGGTGAAATGGTGAGCACCAGCGGTATAGTACATCCTGGTCTTTCACATATCTCTTAGATTGTAAGCTACAAGGATCAGGCCCTCCTAACCCTCTTGTATTGAACTGTATTGTTGTATTGTCTCCCGTTATATTGTAAAGCGCTGAGCAAACTGTTGGCGCTATATAAATCCTGTATAATAATAATAATACCCAGCACTGCAGTATCACTTGGTGACGTGGCGAGGCCCATAAGTGTAGTATAAGCTGGTGCGGAGGCGAGCACAAGTAATGTCCCGCAGCCACCAAGAATTTGCACACAGGCCCATAGAGCCCCTAGTATCCTTCCGGATGTGCTTGCAAAATCCCGATTGGCACAAATTCTGCAGCACCCGTACTTCCCCCATTCACTGCCCAACCCGGAATTCAGGTAGAAACAGCAAAATTGAACCACTCCCCTTGATTTTTGGAGCTGTTTTTCACGGAAGATCTGTATGCATTGATTGTGGATCAAAGCAATTTTATATGCAGAAACAATTTATCGCCACCAACCCAAATTCAAACCTTGCAAGATTGGCATGGAAACCCATTACGGTTTCCAAAATTTAACATTTTTTGGGGGGCCTAACCCTCAACACGGGCATTACTAAAAAAAATGAATTGCAGATGTATTGGCCCACAGACACGATTCATCATATGCCATGTTCTCTGCAGCCATGGCCAGGCATAGAAATGAGAGTATAATGTGTTTTATGCATTTCAACATGGGCATTACTAACAAAAATGAATTGCGGTTGTATTGGTCCACAGACCAACAATTTCTCCCCAGCAAGTGTGCCAGATATGGGGTCAAGATGTATAAGATCTGTGAGAGGGCAACAGGCTATACAAAGAAGTTTCGGATTTACATGGGAGCCCCCTGGATGCCCAGACCACATGGGAGAGAAGTGGCAAGATAGTTTGGGACTTGGTGTCACCCTTTTTCCATATGGGTTATCACTTATATGTGGACAATTTTTTATTCAAGCGTGCCACACTATTAGACATTTGTACAATCTTGGAACTGGCACATGTGACACCGTGTGACCTAATGTGTGCCCACCATTAGAAGTGGGTGGATGCAGGGCGGTATATTCTAATGGTGGGCATACCACACACTTTTTCTGGCAGAGATTTCTCCTCTTTTTTTCATCAGCCCACAGTCTGCATACAAAAAAAAGAACACAGCATATACACCCAACAAGGATCAGCGATGTACTGGTACATCCCTGGACTTTGAATGGTTATACCAGGATGATGCCTACAGCGGTATCGTTTTTTTTTTTCAGCCGCTGATCGGCCGTCATGTAAAAGCAATCCTAGTGGCTAATTAGCTGTAGGATTGCTTTTACAAGCAATGGGAGATGATATCCCCCCCCCTTCCATGGCCTTCTCGGGCAGTCCCGTGCCATCGGGGGAACCTAAGAATGCAACGGTGTTTCTGCCAGCTGACCATAGAGCTGATTGGAGACCAGAATGGTGTCAATCATCTCTATAGCATTTCATCACTTTCAGTTTCGCAGGATATAAACAGCGTCATTTGAAAATTGGGAAAGCATCTGATCACGAAAACCGATCTTGGTTTGATTAGATAATGTAAGGGCAGAGGAGATTATCCAGAGTCTGATAGACCCAGATTTCTCAAAAGAGAATATATGACAATGCCCATTGAAGTTATCGGGGATATTTGCATTCCCTATGACAGTATTAAAAGCGATAAAAAAAAATGAAAAGGACAGTGTAAAAATAAATTAAAAAAATCAAAATAACTTAAAAAAAAACCTTGCCCCCCCCCTTACGCGCACACCTGCGCGAGAGTTAACCCTGCGCCAGTATGTAAACAGCGGTTTGCACCATGCATATGAGGTATCGCCGTGAACGTCAGATCAAGGGCAGTAATTCTAACACTAGATCTCCTCTGTAAATCTAAAATGGTAGCTTGTAAAGGCTTTTTAAACTATGCCTATGGATATTAAAAATGTATGCAGTTTGTCTCCATCGCACGGAAAATGTGCAGTTTTTAAATCATGTCATGTTTGGCATCTATTTACTCGGCATACGGTACCATCATCTTTTATATTTTACCAAACAATTGGTCAATTATATTGTATTTTTGTGCATTAAAAGTAAAAAAAAGTGTTTTTTTTTTAAATTTGCATTTGAAAAATTGCTGCGCGAGTAATATGTAACATAAAAAATTGTAGCACCCACCAATTTTATTCACTAGGGTGTCTGCTTTAAAAAAATATATAATGTTTGGGGGTTTAAATTAATTTCCTAGCAAAAAAATACTGATTTTTTTTTCATGTGTCTAAAAAGTGTCAGAAAAGGCTTGATCTTCAAATGGTTAGAAGAGTGCCCCACCCCCCAAAATGACCCCTTTTTGGAAAGTAGACACCCCAAAACTATTTGCTGAGAGGCATGTTGAATCAATAGAAGAATTTATTTATTTTTAAACCACATGTGAGAGAGACATTTTGTCAGTTTAGCCAAGTACAGGACCTCAAAATCCAATAAGCACCTTCAGGCTTTTAAAGGGCATTATTTCCTCATTACCCTTCCTGACTATCACCTTTTTGGAGGCCCTGAAAATGCCAGAATAGCACCACCCCCCCCCCCAAATGACCCTTTTTTGGAAAGTAGACACCCCAAGGAATTTGATAAGAAGCATGGTGAGTTTTTTGCAGATCTCTATTTTTTTCTTTTCTTTTTTTATATTCCAAAACCTTGTGAGAAAAAATGAGATCTGAAAAATACTCACCAGGCCCTCTTTTTAAATTCCTTGGGGTGTCTGCTTTCCAAAAGTAGACCATTTGGGGGGGGGGGTGCTATCCTGACATTTCAGGACCTCCGAAACTGTGATAGGTAGTGAGAAAGAGAAATGAGGAAGTTACGCACTTTCCGTGTTTCAAAGTGGTCATTGGATTTCAGACTCCTGTATGCGGCTAGGCTCCCCAACTGTCTCACACACATGTGGTATCCCCATACTACTCGGTAGAAGTAGCAGAATTTATATTGGGGTGTAATTCCACATATACCCATGGCTTGTGCGAGAAATAAATCATTTAAATGACAACTTTGAGTAAAAAAAGAAAAAAAATGTTTTTCATTTTCCAGAAACTTGTGAAAAAAAATAAATCTTCCATGGACTCAAATATACCTCTCAGCAGATAGCTTAGGGTGTCTACATTCCGAACCTTCCTTTACATTTGCTTTTCTGCACACAAAAATGTATAATTTTGTCTCACTGAGCCTATCTTAAAGAACTTCATTAAAGCCAGCAACTGTTGAGATAATGAACACCTTGGTCAGGCCTATGTCATGTACAATATATACCCATATTTTTCGCTTCATAAGACGCACCTAGATTTTAGAGGAGGAAAACAAGAAAAAAAATATTCTGAACCAATGGACTGCAGACATAATACAGGAGATGACTATAGACTGCAGACACCGTACAGGAGATGACCAGAGAGTGCAGACACCGTACAGGAGATGACCAGAGGACTGCGGACGTAGTACAGGAGATGACCAGAGACTACGGACATAGTACAGGAGATGACCAGAGACTGCAGACACAGTACAGGAGATAAACCAGAGACTTCGGACATAGTACACAAGATGACCAGAGACTGCGGACAAAGTACAGGAGATGACCAGAGACTGCGGACACAGTACAGGAGATGACCAGAGACTGCGGACACAGTACAGGAGATTACCAGAGACTGCGGACACAGTACAGGAGATGACCAGAGACTGCGGACACAGTACAGGAGATGACCAGAGACTGCAGACACCGTACAGGAGATGACCAGAGAGTGCAGACACCGTACAGGAGATGACCAGAGACTGCGGACGTAGTACAGGAGATGACCAGAGACTGCGGACACAGTACATGAGATGACCAGAGACTGCGGACACAGTACAGGAGATGACCAGAGACTGCGGACACAGTACAGGAGATGACCAGAGACTGCGGACACAGTACAGGAGATGACCAGAGACTGCGGACACAGTACAGGAGATGACCAGAGACTGCGGACACAGTACAGGAGATGACCAGAGACTGCGGACACAGTACAGGGGATGACCAGAGACTGCGGACACAGTACAGGAGATGACCAGAGACTGCGGACACAGTACAGGAGATGACCAGGGACTACGGACACAGTACAGGGGATGACCAGAGACTGCGGGACACAGTACAGGAGATGACCAGAGACTGCGGACACAGTACAGGGGATGATCAGAGACTGTGGACACAGTACAGGAGATGACCAGAGACTGTGGACATAGTACAGGAGATGACCAGGGACTACGGACATAGTACAAGAGATGACCAGAGACTGCGGACATACTACAGAGAGAGCAGAAGCAGAGAGAGCAGTATGTGTTGAGATGACCTGTCTTTTCTGGTTGTATTCACTATGGATCCCATCATGAGCATAATGCGGCAGCGTTCTACCATTTTTTTCCTTCACGCAAAATCTGGAACTGACTGCGCTGGTGTACCGGGCTCATTTGAATACATGGAAAAAGCTTTGCATGTATTTCTGATGATGAAAAAAGGCTCTGGACAGCATCTGGATATGGAGCAGTTAAAAATGCTTCTAACCGCAAACGCTTATATATGCAGTTAGCTGCGTTTACAAGCATTTGGCGTTTGAAACGTTGATAAAATCTACTCCTGAATGCAAGTTTGCTGCGTTCAAAAAAAATGTCTGTAAACTCAACTGCCTGTAAATGACATAGTGTACATGGACACATAGGAAAACATTAGGGAGGGTTCAGGAGCTGCTGAAAAAAAAAACGCAGAAAAGCTCCTAAACGTGAGTTTATCAGCTGCAGTGTACATGAACCCTTCTTCTTAGGCAAAGCACAAGAGGATAATGACAAGTAGCCTGCTGAGTAAATCAATCACTTGCTTGTTATGTCAATGGGCACTTGTCACACTAATTGTGTAGCGCGGTATCCTGAGATTGGGATGGATGGTATCTGTGGTGTAAAATGTTCTCCAGCAACACCGCCGGCACTTGTGGACAGTGTTCACTATTATGGATGAGGGTGTAGCTGTAGTGGCAGCCAAGCAATGTTCACTATGGCAGTGAGGTACATTGGGTTTCTCTCACCCGATTTACTTTGGATTAGCAGGGTGCGGCGGTCCATCTCACCCGCAGAACAGGAACAGTCCTCGGCCCCTCCGGTTCAGGCCTGAAGCTGTGCTTTCTCTCTTTCCTGCTGTCAGGGTGTTCAGCTTGCAGCGTCATATAGGCCAGACCATCAGCAACCTTCTCCACCCTTTCTCTCTCTACTGGCTCCACGGCCTAATTTGTCTAACGATCGGGACCCAGGACTCCCAATTCCGGGTCACATGATTGCTGTGATAGCCTCTGATTGGCTATCACAGTGATCAGTCACTGTACAGCCCGGCCCCCTTGTTTTTTTTTCTTTCTATGAATGGAGGAGAGAGATACATTGTATGTCTCTAACTCCTGGCATAGAGGGCAAAAAAAAATGTTTGTAACAAAAAAAAAAAAAAGATAAATACGTAGGTGTCAGTGTGTTTTAGGTAAAAAAAAAACGACAAATGTGCACTATTGTTTCTGGGCTATACTACAGGTACAAACTACAAATAACATACACATATATGGTATCGCTGCGATTGTCAAGAGCTGGGGAATTTATTTTGGTTGTTCTTTGGTGTGGGGGGGGGCATCCTATACCTACATACTTTAGCTAATAGGTGTTCCTCCTTCCCATCTCAAAAGGTTGAAAGGTATGCCTCAGGTCCTAAATCTGACAGGTGTGTGGGTACAGGTGTGTGCCCTAAACACAGACAGTGTACATTCGGGGCCCCTCACCCACACCCTGCACACCTGTCTAACTAACACCTGTGACTGTTGGTGAATAGCAGGGTGACCCATTCAAGTGAATAGCGCTGCTTTGGCAAGTGCCCACAAACTGCATGCATTGCATATGGTTGCTGCGCGCTAGTGCAATACAATGCCTCCTCTCTGCCTGTCAAATACTCTCTGAGGAGCAAAGGGGAATGGTAAGGGGTAGTTTGGGGAACACCAGGCACACAATGAAGGCTACAGGAAAGGGTAGTTGGAAGGATATCAGGCAAACAGTGGAAGGATAAAGGGAATGGGTAATTGGGGAGGATAGCAGGCACAAAGTGGCAGGTTTAGGGAACAGTAGTTGGGAAAGATAACAGGCACACAATGGCAGGGTACAGAGGGGTGTAGTTGGCAGGATAGCAGGCACACAGTAGAGGGTTACAAGGAGGTAGGAGGTTGGTAGTGTAGCGCTACCCCCTTAGGTGTTGCTGAAGATTTGGGTCCCCCCTATAGTCCTGCACAGCCCAGGGCAACACGCATTTCCTTCTAGCCTTGCACTCCAGAGACAGTAAACATGACCTTGAACTTGGGTTTTTTTTTGCATTTTAATATGGGATTAAACTTGGATGGGGGATGAGGGATACCTGAACTGCTTTGAGCTGAGGGTAACTTCCTATAACTATGTACAAGTGCTCAGAAGGGATTTTGTTTTCTTCTTGGAGAGCTATCCAGCCTTTTCCTGGTATGCCCACCTCAGACTCTAAACAAAAAACCCCACAAAAAGGATATAGAACCTCAAAGGCTGATAAGCAGCATAAATGTATTATGGACGTAACAATAAAACAGATCATATATTCAAAACAATGCACACTACCCCATCCACCCCCTCCCCCCAGCCCCGTACCATCAACCAACCCCCCCCCCAACAATGTCCCACACAGTCCCACCCTCCCCTCCCCCTCCCAGGGCAACCCTACAGGTCCCCTCCTCCCCAAAGCCAGGTCAACATTGGCTAACCCCTCCACCCCTTTCAAAATCCTCCAACAAAGTGTGACTCAGTTCATATCTGTAGTAGGTATGCCGCTGTGCTCTGAATCCTTCCTATATCCTCGTAGCCATCACTGGAGCCTGTCTATGTCAAACCTTAAAATCTGCGTGCACTCCGTGAAATGGCAACAATTTTTTTACTTAACTTTTTTAAAAAAAGCTCCCTATGTGATGATTTTTTGGTGACAGGTTCTCTTTTTTTGAAATTGTCTCCCCTGTATTACACTGAATGTAAGGCATTGCACATTACATTCTTTCCGGGCGTCCAATGACCAGGAATGTGTCAAACAGGGACCCAGAAGGGACATCACATCACTTCCGGGTCAGAAGAAGGGGAGGGGAGCAGATATGTCTACTCTCCTTCCTCCCCTATACCACATCCTGCCGGCACACATTGAGCCAGTCCCGGGCCCGCAGATGGGCAAGCGAAGCCTGGGACATATAGCTGGCGGGGGGGGAGGGTGACACTGTGGGCTGTGTGGAAGCAATCGGGTGGCAGCGCTTCCACCTGACAGGTGAGCCCTGCTGCTTAGCCCGCAGCACGGCTAAAGACAAAAAAACCCTACCTGCCCGGCGCCCATAACTACATGTCCCGGGTGTCAGGCGATAGGAGTTGCATATCCCTGCTATTCCCCGCTGGGGTTCTTGCAGCTGATTGCAGACAGGGTCATATACAAGTGTGAATGCTCCTGTAAGTAAATAGCTGCCATTGACCAGTGATCTCCTCCTCCCTGTGAGCATACATTGGAAGCTGAGTCAGAGCAGATTTTATTGGCCTCTTCAGTATTAGAACAATATTAGGATGATAATATGTTCATCTTTGTGACTAAATATTTTGTTTTTAAACATCACTTTCTGCTGTGTACCCCCCCCCCCCCCCCCCCCCCCCCCCCCCCCCCCCCCCCCCCCCAATTATTGTGTTCCTTTTCCCAGGCAATACAATTCTCTGCCTGAAAGAAGAGGATCCAGACCCAACCGAGAAGGAAAGGTTACAAATGTTGAGCTTTGAAGTATTTCCCTTCTATCACAGCCATGAGATGTGTTGTAAGGTGATTTTGTCTGGAGGTGAAAAAAACAAAACACAATTGGCCCTTTCATGGGCCCTTTCATGGCAGACACAGATTCTTGTGGGCTAAAAAGTTCACTACATGAAGTGTTTTTAAACAAGATGACTTCTATTGACTCCCCTATTTGTTTATAAAATGCAAAATAAAATACAATCTCATCCCCCAGGGCTGCAGCTGGACCTTGTACAGCCTGTCTGACTGGGATCCCCCCAAAAATATCAAAACAAATATTTTCACTAAAAATACACTAAATCATTATTAGCGGACACAAAATACAATATAACTAATACAAAATCCTGCTGAATCTAAAGGATAACATTGTATTGAGGTTAATAAATAAAGCTCAGTGTAGTAATGAGGTGTTGGGATAATTCACATAGGTGCTGTGGCCTGTACAGTATGGGTCAGTAGTTTATGGGGCAGGGGCTGTGTGCAGGCAGCCTATGTTACACAATGGGGACGCAGCACATGTATGAACACAGCCACAGCTCCTAATGTGACAGGCGTGTGTGGGTGCAGGTATACAGCCTTGAACAGTGTGCATTTGGTGACGCTCACCCCACCCCTGTTTACCTATTAAAACGTAGGACCTGTGGCTGTGTGCATGCCCATAGAGTAACAGGCATCTTCATCTGCATAGACAAACCACTCATTCACACAGCCAGATGTACCTGTGTGAATGAGCACTTAGGGCTTGTCACGCACAAGTGAGGTTGTGGGTGGTAAAAACCTCACAATTGAGCTGCACTTTTACTGCTCCCCAACCACTACACCTTTAGCTGCAGAGGCATTCACTGGGGATGTACACATGCCATGACTGCTTTGCTTTATGGCTGTGGCAAGGATTATATCCCCCCCGGTCAAACACGACCCATTCAAGTGATTGGTGCTGCTTTTGCAAGCATCTCACAACGACATGCATTGTTCAGTTTTAAGTGCACTAGTGTGAGATGAAGGGGTTAAAGTTTCACTGCCTATCAAATGCTTACTGAAGAGCGAAGAGTACAGGTAAGATGGTAGGTGTTAGGATAACAGCGGCACACAGTTTGCAGGGTACAAAGAGGGGGTAGTTGGCAGGGACAGCAGGCACAACAGTGGCAGGTTACAGGGAAGGGTAGTTGGTAGGGATAGTTGCAGGGCACAGGCACACAGTGGCAGGTTACAGGGAAGGGTAGTTGGCAGGAACAGCAGGCACACAGTGGCAGGTTACAGGAAGGGTAGTTGGTAGGGTATAGCAAGGCACACAGTGGCAGGTTATCAGGAAGGGTAGTTGGCAGGACAGCACGGCACACAGTGGCAGGTTACAGGGAAGGGTAGTTGGTAGTGGTAGCAGGCAACACGAGTGGCATGTACAGGGAAGGGTAGTTGGTATGGGTTAGCAGACACACAATGCTGTGTGGTAAAGGAAA